AAGAAAACTTTTCTTAACGTTCAACAATTAAAAGGTTCAAGACTCTTTGAAGATAAAGGATTACTATTAAATTGTTTATCATAAATGGGGTTTGTGATGGAAAAATAGATGATGGTAGGAAATGAAGATTATAAATAATCGTATAATAATTGTGTGATGTAGTATAAATTATTTCAAGAATGTTTTTAATAATTTCAGGCCAAGCAAGGCAATAAAGGCACGAAGACACAAGAAGTTACTGAATATGAAAGAATGTTGCATTTAAAAGATCAAATTTGACTGGAAGAGATTTTGATAAACGAGAAATACGGGAACAGGAACTGTTAGCAAAAAAACTACAATTTAATCTAGGCAATTTATCTGCAAAATGATGAGACCTATTTGCCAACCCAGTACTGCGCTCAAATCCATAAAGTCTAGGTATCATAGCGAAGAGCAACTACCATAAAAGTATTTAGAGAAAAGGCACAGGAAATCTAGTTTACGGTGGTATGAAAGTGGCTAAAGCCGAGACGCCAGATCAAGACAGATATTATTGCTGATTCTTTGGATTCTATCAAGAAGCACCGGACCATATATGGCAGCAGTATGAACGAATGGTAAACTTATAGATATGTAAGATAGATTCTGGAGAAAAAATTGTCTAGCAATTTAAATTTAAATTTAGTACTTTATAATAGTAATAATTTATCCAACTAACACTGCAAAACCCAGAAATTTTAGCCAGATAACGTCCAGTTCATTTATAATTGACTAGCAGTAGAGCCCGGCGTTGCCCGGGGATGTAACAGTAAGAGATAGATCAAGTATCGACCATCATAAAGACTGAAAAATAAAATTGACAAAGATTATTGTTTAAGGTTGATGGACATACATTTTTTCGATTTTTTTTTGTTTTTTTTACGAATTAGTCAAACCCAAACTCAAACAAAAACATTGTTTTCAATCGTTATGAATCTATCGATTGAAGAGAATTTTATTATGAATAATTGTCTTGTAAATGGAATTTTTAAAGCATTCTGAATGTAAAAATAAAGAAAACAGTGTGCAAGACAATAAGAAACACTATCTACCAAAAAAAAGTGAAGTTTTGTTGAAATCGGTTGAAAAATGTAGGGAAATCCGATCCCATTTATAAACGAACGAACACACACGCACACAAACACCCTGGGTTTTATAAGTATAACTCCATAGGAGTTGTCCCCCTTTCATTCTGGTGACGGAATCGAGTTTTATCGTGTTTTCAAATTGATTTTGTGCAAAAACAATTGTGTTTTTCCAATTTTTGGCACTGTCAGAACCACCGCAAGGTAATTTTACGCAGTCCTGTGAAGTTTTGTTGAAATCGGTTGAAAAATGTAGGAAATCCGATCCAATATATAAACGTACAGACACACACACACACAATCTGTGTTTTATAATAAGATAGTTGAATAGTGCATGAAACTCCTTGTCGTCTGTCCTCTATATATATAAATATATATATATATAGAGAGAGAGAGAGAGTTCTGGGACGTTTGACATATCGAACAAATTAGTTTTCGAACAGAATATTCGATATGAATATCAAACAAAATTTTGGTTCACCAACATTGGTTTTATACATTCGTGTATTCTGTTGTGCTTTTCTATTCCAATTTTATTGTAAAGTGCCCTTTTTTCTCTCTCTTCATTAGTCCTCAGTCATGGCTCAAAAGAAAGCTAACAGTGATAAAGAAAAAGAAAAGTTTAGAGAAAAACAATTGTTGATTATATTGTCTCTGTGATGATATTGTCTCTTCCTACTCAGTTTCATATGGCAAAAATCAACGATGTATACTATTCTTTTAAATAAAGAGACGATCATGTCTTTCCTTCTCCTTTTCCAAACAATAACATCTCTCCTTCACCTTCCTCTTATCCCATAAACTCTCCTACTTATAGGTACGGTAAAATTAAAATGTCAGTGATACTGGTAAAGGAAAAAGGAAAATGAAAAGAAAAAAGTGTTGATGATATTGTCTCTTCCTACTCAGTTTCATATGGAAAAAGCAACGACCTATACTATTTTTATCAATGTCTTTCCTTCCCTTTTCCAAACAATACCATCGCTTTCCTTCCCCTTATACTTACTCCATCAACTCTTCAACATACAGGTATGGTAAAATCTCTCTCTCTCTCTCTCTCTATATATATATATATATATATATATATATATATATATATATATAATAGAATTGTAAAATGAAGACTGAAAAGAGCCGTGCCTAAAAGGTATAGGCAACAAAAATGGGGCTCAATACACAATTCAAAATGGAATGTGTAGAGCAAAGATATTTAAGAAAAGGCTAAAATGCCAACAAAATTTACAATCCGGGTTTCGACCACAAGATAACTTCAGGCAAGTGGATACTTCACTTGTCGGAGGAAACCTCACGGTCGAAACCCGGATTGCGAGGTTGGTTGGCATTTTACCTTTTTATATATATATATATATATATATATATATATATATATATATATATATATATATATATATATAAATAAGAAATGGAAAGGTCCTACAATTTATTTATTAAAGACACATTTTATGTTTAACGTTGTTTTTATAGATACAAGTATTTAAGCAAATGCTCTGTTTATGATAAACAGTATTAAATAACATTTACCGGCCTGAATGTCCGAGAAATTTTCATATATAGGATGCAGGTTCGAATCCTGTCAAAGAACGAAAATTTTCTATGAAAATTTCTCGGACATTCAGGCCGGTAAATGTTATTTAATACTGTTTATCATAAACAGAGCATTTGCTTAAATACTTGTATCTATAAAATAACAACGTTAAACATAAAATATGTCTTTAATAAATATATATATATATATATATATATAAATAGATAGATAGATAGAAGAGAGATATATATATATATATATATATATATATATTATTTAGCTTATGTAGAAGTTTATATATATATATATATATATTGTTTAGTTTAATTGGCATGTTCATATATATATATATATATATATATATATATGAGTGTATGATATATGATGTATATATGTATGTGCATGTATCGACAAGAACAGATAAGTTCTCCTCCTTCTCTCTCTCTCTCTCTCTCTCTCTATATATATATATATATATATATATATATATATATATAATGTTTTTAGAAGTTAATAAGCAACTGAGATTTTGTAATTTCTATATAAATGCTAATGCACGGAAATAGCTTCAAGCTACAGCAAATTTTATTCGGGGAATGTTACCTTTAAATATGTCTATTATCGACAAAATGAGGTTAAATTCACTTGTGAAGTTCGTAAGATTCATTCTTGATATAAACAAGGCGTTGTTATCATAGCTTGGTCTTTTAGTGGCCTCATATTAGTGAATAATGTTCTACTATGTGACGAAGAAATAGATTTTACAAGGCAGTAAATGTAAAAGTCGTGTAAAGCTTATTCGCGCGGGAAAGGGATTCGCTTCTTCTTCTTCTACGTACCTGGTTCCTTCAGGACGTTAGACGATCATGACTCTCCACAATTTTCTATCCTCTGTAGCTCTTAAAAATATATCATTTATAAGTCCTGTTTTGCTATTCATTTAGTCAAATTCGATAGGTAGATTATGCGTCCGATGTCCCTTGTGTTTTCAATCTGTCATCCTGCGAGTATCTTATTTGCTAAGTCTGCTTTTGTTACAGTTTTTTTTGTATATGAGTGTACTAGTGAGCTAGCCAAAATGAGCTGACTCACTTTATAGTCAACCAAGAGAAGGGTTAACCAATCAGAAAGCTCAAAATATTCAATCCGACGTGTATAAAGGCAGCCATTTTGTTTTTTTTCTCCCAAAATATCTTCACTGCCAACCTTCGATATCGAAGACAAAGAATTACTTAACAGCTGCTACTTTCTCCGAATCTTCACTGCCAACCTCTGATATTGAACACATTACGTACTTCACTGGATTCTATATTCAAAGACTACGGCAAACATCGTCAACATCTTTTTCATTATGTATCCAAAATTTTCAATGGTTTCTTTACGACGTTAAGTATAGTTGTACATTTTTTTACTATTTTCTTTAAAAGTTCGACGTTACTCATATGTTCGGTCTATGGTATCTTCAGCATCCTTCTTTACAAATAGATTTTTGTTGCTTCTTCTCTTCTACATCTGTTAGGAAAAATTGTCCAGTATTCACTCTCTTATAGGACGGATATTACATAATACTTTAGTACTGAAATGAATTTCTTCTGTTTCTTAATAATTCACTTAACAATAGGAAGGTAATTTTAGCTATAACAGAACAGGAATTAGGAGACATAGCAACAACAACAAAAAAAGAAACAAAGAAAGAAAGAAAGAATATTTTCGTAATCTCAATGATTAACGGCATCTCACTCTTTTGGTTGGAATGGAAAAGAAAGAAAGAAAGAAAGAAAGTACCAAACAAACAATGAAGCAAGGAAAGGATGAATGAATGAAAAATATTTTCGTAACTTCACTGATTAAAGGTTTATATCTCTGTCTTGGATGGAATGGAAAAGAAAGAAAGAAAGAAAGAAAGAAAGAAAGAAAGAAAGAAAGAAAGAAAGAAAGAAAGAAAGAAGACTATTTTCGTAATTTGAATGATTAGTGGAAATTCCTTATTTTGGTTCGAAAGGAAAAGAAAAAACAAAGAAAGAAAGTAACAAACAAACAAACAAAAAAAGAAAGAAAGAAAGCAAGAAAGTAAGCAAGAAAGAAAGAATATTTTTGTAATTTCAGTAATTAACGGCATCTCCCGCTTTTGGTTGGAATAGAAAAGAAAGAAAGAAAAAAAGAAAGAATATTTGTGTAATTTCAGTGATTAGCAGAAACTCCCTATCTTGGTTCGAACGAAAAAGAAAAAAGAAAGATAGGAAGAAAGAAGGACAGGAAACAGAAATTAAGAAAGAAAGAAATTAAGGAAGAATGAAAGAAAAAAGAAAATTTTCGTAATTTCAGTTATTAACGGCATCTTCTTTATGTTAGAATGGAAAATAAAGAAAGAAAGAAAGAAAGAAACATGATGAATGAATGAATGAATGAAAAATATTTAGAATAAAAGAATGAAAGAAAGTAATAAAGAAAGAAAGAAAAAAAAACATTGTTATAACTTCACGGCATAACGGCATCTCTTGATCTTCGTTCGCATGGAAAAGAAAGAAAGAAAGAACTTTTTTATAACGTTAATAATGTGTTTCCCTATCAGGCCATGAAAGAAAGGGGGGAAAGGATGAATGACCGATAATCAAGGTTCAGTGAGAGTAACAAAAATAAATTACTTTAGTTTAAGATGGATTAAGGTTAACTATGGTTTAATGGATTTATGAATGCTTTAATCTTAATTTCAAGTTGACTTGGATAGAACGACGTGGTGCAATTGCGTGGCCATCTTGATCACCAGATCTAATACCACCAGACTATTTTTTGCGTTGTAGTGAAAAATCATTTCGAAGGACAAGTTCTGAATTGATACAAGCAATTTATGATAAATTTTCTGAATTTAATGTCGTAATGTATCAAATGTTTTGTATAAGTGTTGCTGATTATGTTCAGCGTTATATTGAACATGATGTGAATCCTTTTAAAGATGTTAAATAGTTTGGTAATCATAACAAATCATGTTGTTTTGATATGACAATATTTTTAAATTTTCTTAAACTACTTTAAATTTTTTTTGGTTCAATTAAAGTTAATAAATCAAAATGGGCGTTACTTTTGCCACCCAGTTTATATCTTTGGAACCCACAGTGATTAGCAGCTTCATCATATCCCCCTCCACGAATATCGTACAATTAAACGAATAAAGACGGAAATAAAGATAGCAAAAAGAATGAATGAATGAATGAAAATTATCGGTTGCAATGTAACAAGTTAACAACAGGAAGTATCTCAAGAGAGAAAGCTGATGATTTTATAGAAAATTCAGGGTACAGAAGATCCTGAATGAGAAAAGAGAACGAATTAAAATGAAATGACAGAAAAATGTCATAGACAAAGAATAATAAAGAAACAACTATTTACAGCAAGAGAAGTGTTATGTTTTGCATATCTCTCTGCGTAGTAGTAGTCGTAGTACAGTTCTCTGTGTCCTGGCTAGGCATAGCCCCTATGTTCGGCATTTGTTCTTTATTTATACTCCTTTATTTAATTTGCATACGATACTACTCCTCCCTGAATCGGTGAGGTCGTATACCCTTGTTTTTTTTTCTTTTCTTTTACTATTCCTGATTATTTTCGTATTATGTTGTCCTTCGTCTTGTCTTTTTTTGTTTTATCTTTCATAGTGATCTCGGTCTCTATTCATTCTTTCATTCTTGCAAATGCAGCCACAGTTCTTTTCCATGTTTCTATGTTTCCAGGTTGTCCACCAAATTTAAGGATCCTATCGGCGACGCCATTTTTATGTTTTGCATAACTCTTTGTGTATTAGTAGTAGTAGTCATAGTACAGTTCTCCGTGTCCTGGCTAGCAACCGGTTTGTTAGGCATAGCCCCTATCTTCGCCAGTTGTTCTCTATTTATACTTGTCTAATTTGATTAGGTTATTACATGAAGAAAGAAAAGGAAAGATTTCGCATCGTTATTACCAAGTAAAATAGTGTATTTAAATTTTTAACACTGTAAGATAAGGTCCTAGGTTTTCAAACACATTTTTTGATAGTTGCTGTTAGCCATTCACTTAACGTGCGTTTTTCTCAAAGGTACCTTTAACCACACAAGTGTTTACATGTGATTTAAAATTAAAAATATATAACAGAATTAAACTTTGTATTTATTTCATCCTTATTCTTTCTACTCTCCAGCACCGGATAACATTATCATGTATTAGGGCACAAGTGACAACAAATCATATTATTATCAAAGTCATCCTTTTCAGATACTCGCAAGGAGTTTACTCTTGTTAAAGAGGTCTACCGCCTCTTTTCATGGACGCTATTTAGCAGCTTCGTCATATTAATCCTTAATCTTGCCCTGGACATTTAATGGTGATTTTAGTTTTGAAAAAAAATTACAGAAGTTGCAAAATGTCAAACTTCGATACTGGAGAAAGTTGACAGAGTTGAATGAGGGGATACTTGTTGCAAAACCACACATAAACGTGAAGAATCAATACGCTCGCTTCTTCTGAACGCGACGGACACACACATATGACAAGCGTTCACCTAATGATGTCTCAGTATAAAACTAGAGCCCACGAAGAGCCTCTATTCAGGCTTGCACTTTCATGGTTTTGTGATGTAGTGGGAAGTGTATATTCGTTGGTAATTGTTGCTTGTATAAGAAGGTAGGTAAGCAGTAGCAGTCACTTATGGACAGCTGCTAGTTTGGCCTAAAGGTTCAACAAGCAATCAAATTGAGGTCACCATAACATAAACAAACAAAATATGAAAGAGAAGGGTATTTCAGAAACACTTTATATTTAAATACACATCAATGATAAGTATAATGTTTCTTGATTAACACGCACAAAGTCCGTTATTAAAATGTTCATTCAAAGAAAAGAAATCAGATTATGAAAGGAATTAAAGTGTCATTTTGTGAATACTTAAGTTTAGGCGTGCGGGTCCCAGGAGATGAAAGGTGAGGTCAATGGGTTGGTAGGTGTCATTTGATATCTCCGTTGGTGAAGGAAAACTGGAGGCGTCGGGTTGATGGGTGAAAAAGCGTAGCGACATTCTATGACGGTAACTTCAAGGCTTTCTGACCAGAAGTGAATTCATCGTTCTATTTATGTGTGTCCATCGGATCTGAGTCAGTATGCTGAAACAAACTGTTGGATATGGCGCGGGGCCGTTTAATTGGTGGAAATTGCTTATTATATTCTTTTTATTTCTTTTTGATTTTCCACCGGAACTTATGCGTCGAGCCTGGTGCGAAAAGACCAGTATTGGTCATTTGCTATCTAGACCTCTGAGGGTTAACATCCGGTCCTTCGCTTGCTCAGTACCACCACATAACTTTCGCCCCAGTAAACGGAGTTGTTGTTGTTTTTTTTTTTTTTTTTTTTTTTTTTGTTATATCAGTAATAAAAATATGAGTTTTCTTTCTTCCATTTAACCGTTCTACCGGACTTCGTTCTAGTTTCTGGTTTGTTATCATTAGTTTCTTCGGAACAAGATAGGAGTTATCCAAATCCGGTCTTGATCCAATGGAATCTTTTGATTTTATATTTTCAGAAATATATTCAGGTTTTAGTCTATCTATTGAAACATTACTATGTACGTCATCCGATCTTTTAATAGTAAAATATTTTCATGACGACTTAATACTTGGAATGGACCTGTGTATGGAGCTTCAATGGCTTTCTTACTCTGTCTGTTCTTAGCCAGATACTTTTTACATGTTTGTAAATCTTTTGGAATGTAAGAATTAGGTATTGTATGCAGGTGTTCCTTGGATAATTTGTCCATATCAAATTTTTGCATCTCGTCGGCTAGAATTTTAACGTGCGAGTTTGTCATTTCACTATTCTCGTTCTTGATAGAGTCAATTAATAATCAGGGACTTGTGCATGACTCCCTGTTACTGCAGTAAATGAAGAATAGTTTGATTCGTTAGGTGTTATCCTCATTCCCAAAAGGACGATAGGAAGAGCTGATAACCACGATTCTTTCCTGGCTATAATAGCCGTTTTTAAAGTTCTGTGTGCTCGCTCAACTAATCCATTCGTTTGCGGATGGTACGCCGTTGTTCGTAATCTGTGGAAGCCTATTATTTTGATAGTTCTGAGAATAATTCGGATTCAAATTGGCTTCCTCTGTCCGTAACGACATGAAGAGGAACCCCGAATCGGGAGATCCACAGATTGACAAAAGCCGTTGATATTGATTTTTCCGTAATTTCTGTTATTGGGCATGCTTCTATCCATCTCGTATTTCTATCAACGCATGTTAATAAATATCGATATGGTGAAAAATAAGGGTCAGTTTGGTTCTTTACTGGTGGTAAAGGACCGACAATATCCACATGCACCGTTTCAAAACGACTGGAAGGTAATTCAAATGGATTTACTTTGCTCTTTGTGTGTTTTATTATTTTTTTGCTTGTTGGCAATGCTGGCATTCTGTGCACCAGGTTTTATTGACTTGTCCATCTTCGGCCAATAGTATCTGGATTTTATTATTTTTTTTCTTGAAGATGTTATTCCTGGATGTGATAGATTATGCAGACTGTCAAATACCGATTTTCTGAGCTTCTCAGTCACAAAAGGTCGTGGAAAAGGTAATGTCGTGTCACATAATATGGTTTCATTTGATTTATTGTGTATGGTTTCAGTTGATCTTTGAATGCCTGAATTTCATTGTCAGTAGCTTGATGCTTCATTATTTCTTGTAAGTCACATACATCAATAGTGATCGCGTTGACAGGTCGTGATAAACAATCACTATATTTTGTGAACCTCTTATATGTGAAATGTCATTCACATATTCGCTGATAAAACAGAGGTGACGCTGTTGTCTATCTGATTTTAAGGAAGACTGGCTTTTAAAAGCACTGCAAAGTGGTTTGTGATCCGTCAGTAACATTACATTTCTGCCTTCTATTAAATGTTTAAAATGGAGTACTGCTAGATAGGCAGCTAGTAGTTCTCTGTCAAAAAGTAGAATATTTTTGTTGGGTTTGGGATAATTTCTTTGAAAAGAAACCTATGGGGATGGGTTGATTATCAATCATTTGATGAAGTGCTGCACCCACCGCATAATTCGAACTGTCTGTTACAAGTTGATAGTTGTTAGCTTTCGAGCTGGGGAAAGCCAAAACAGTTACATTTGATAAAGACTTTTCATATTTTCGAAAGATTCAATTTCTTCCTTTGTTAGGGTTAATGACTTGGAATTTTGGTTTAAACGTATTTTTTCCGTGAGAGGTAGCATGATATCGCTGAAACTTGGCACAAGTTTTCTGTAAAAATTTGCCATTCCGAGGAATCGGCGTAGTGATTTAGAATCGTTTGGTTGAGGAAATTCACTTAATTCATTCAACTTTTTTGCACTGGGTTTGAGACCACTAGCAGAAATGTGAAATCCTAAAAGTCTAATTCATTAGCACTAAATATGCATTTGGAGAGACAAATTTTAAAATCGTACTCACTCAGTTTTTGTAGTACTAGGTCGATATGCTTGGAATGAGTTTCTTCATCTTCTGAGAATATAAGGATATCGTCGATATATACAAAGGTATAATCAGTATCACGAAAGATATTAACCATCATTCTCTGAAAAGTACATGATGCGTTCCGTAGTCCGAAAGGCATATAGTTATATTCAAATAACCCAAAAGGAGTAGAGATGGCTGTCTTGCAAACATCCTCCGGGTGTACTGGTATCTGATGATAAGCAGACGACAGGTCTATCTTTGAAAAGAACTTCTTATTATGAAGCTTCGAAGACAAGGAATTTATATTTGGGACTTGATATCGATCGGCTTTTGTTATGGTATTTAAATGTCTGTAATCGCCAACAGGTCTATATGTGCCGTCTGACTTCGGTACCATGTGTAAGGCTGAACTCCATTCAGAGTTTGAAGGGGAAATTATTCCTGCCTTTAGGAGTTTCTTGAATTCCTCTTTTGCAATTTCACATCTCTGAGCTGATAATTGTCTGGCTCTGGAGAAAGTAGGAGGTTGCTACCAGTTTCTATTCTGTGGAATATCTTTGGTTTTGTTGCATTCGTGTCGCGATGAGGAGAAATTAAGTTTGGGTATTTCTCCAGAATTGCTCGTACCATTTTGTTAGCATCTTTATTCGGTACTAAATCTATATTCATGATAATAGACGATGGATGTGCATCGGATTGTCTATTAGTCATTTTATCAATTAGCTTATTGTTTGTGCAGTCCACCATTAGCCCGAAATGGTTTAGGAAATCGTATCCTAGGGTGGCTGAGCAGTTTCGGCTATTA